CCATTGTCTTTTCACTTGCCGCCTGCTTTCCTCTGTGCAAAACGCATTGCTGCGGCATTTTAGCTGGGGATTGAGACGGTAAGCTGAAATAATACAATTAATTTGTTCTCTCTCTCTCTGATTCTGTCTTTCCATCCGTTTCTTCCGCTGTCTCAGATCAAGGAAGTGGAAATGTGCTGACATGGAGGGATACCCAAAAGAGAATTCTAACAAAGATGTTTGTTCACGCTAATGAAGAAAATAATGAAAGGCAAACAACAAAAACTGCAAGAGTGAGCAAAACGAATTGCGAGCCGAGGAGGGATGGAAATGAGTTGAATGCAAGTAGTGTTCTCAAACAGGCGCACAAACATGAGTGAGGCAATGGTATCGGTGCTGTGAGGTATCTTTCAATCTGATCTGCTCCTGGGACAGTGGTGAGCAGAGAACAGCCGTACGGGGACTATCAGAGATTCATAAGACTGACAAATAGAAATTTAAAATCAGCCTTTTTTGTTTATCCGACAGCTAAATAGTTTAACATTATCTTAATAGAAAAAAGTCCAACAGAATGTAAATTGTGGGACACTTTGATCAAAATATTTTTATATCCCAACAAGAAACTGGAAATATCTTTCCCTGTAAGGTATTTTGAGGATATAGCCACAAGTCGGGCTGCTGTTGATTCGCCATATTATTTTAAATTATTAGCGTTTAGCGCATATCTTGGATCTTTAACTGTACCCAATGAATCCAATCATCTACTTAGACAACAAGCATGTCTTAAAGATATTAAAAAAAACTGGATGACCCTAAATTTTCTACTTTTGAACACAGACAAGACTGAGGTTTTAGTTTCTAGACCTGAGCATCTTGGGAATAAATTTTTCAGTCTTTCTCCCTCCTTAGATGGCATTAATCTGTCCTCCAGCTCTAAAGTTAAAAATCTTGGTGTTATTTTTGATCAGGACATGTCTTTTATCCCCCACATTAAAAACGTTACTAGAACCATCTTCTTCTGCCTGCGTAATATCGTTAAAATTAGAAACGGCTCATCTAAAAACGATGCGGAAAAACTAGTCCATGCATTTGTCACGTCTAGACTGGACTATTGCAATAGTTTGTTTTCTGGGTGTCCAAATAATTCTTTAAAACGTCTTCAGTGGATCCAAAATGCTGCTGCCAGAGTCTTAACTGGAGTAAGTAGGAGAGACCACATCTCTCCAGTTTTAACTTCTCTCCATTGGCTGCCTGTCAAATCCAGAATTGAATTCAAAATCTTACTCCTAACCTACAAAGCCCTCAACAACCTAGCTCCATCTTATATTTGAGATCTTATTGTTCCATATTTTCCTAACAGAGCACTTCGCTCTCAGACTGCAGGCTTACTTGTGGTCCCTAGAGTTTCCAAAAGCAGAATAGGAGGAAGATCTTTCAGTTATCAGGCTCCTCTCTTGTGGAACCAACTTCTAGAACCTGTCTGTAAGGCTGACATATTGTCCACTTTTAAGACTAGGATTAAGACTTTCTTTTTTTTTTAATCCTATAGTTAGGGTTGGCTTGTTATGCTGCCTTAAGTTTAGACTACTAGAGGAAAAATTGACCTAATTTCCTTAAATGAATTGTTAAAATTGAATAGTTTTCATTTGATACTATTTCTATCTTAACATGTGATTCTTGACCTGCCATTGTGTATCTGTTCCTCCTTCCTGTTCCTCTCAAACCCAGCCGGTTGAAGCAGACGGCCGCTTGTCCTGAGCCTGGTTCTGCTAAAGGTTTCTTCCTCATGAGGGTTTTTTTTCTTTTCCACTGTCACCTTCATGCTTGCTCAAGATGAGAGATCTGTGATGGAATTAAACTCAAAGCAGTCTGCTCCTCAGATAAAGTCTTAAACCATTATTTTTATATATGGATGTTTATGTTCAGTGCCCTGAGATGGCCTCTGTTGTGACTTGGCGCAATATAAATAAACTGAATTGAATTGTACCATTTGGCGTTCATTTAGTGTATATCAGTGTATATCTTAGGTCCTTGTATACTGTATTGTTATACTTTATATTTTTGCTATTTTTGGGTGCAACTGGGACTTTTAGCCCAGCAGGAATAATAAAACCTATGTTTATGTAGCTTTTAGTTAATCTTCTGTCATTGAGTAACTCAGCAATGTAAACGGTGAAGTCAAAATTCTACCATGCTTCTGCAATTTCTTACAATGAGCTTGCATCGCTAACAGTAGCTAAAGTGGCTAGCAAGCAAACTAACTTTTTTCTGAACTGGAACACATTAAACTCTGGTGTAATTTTATTCCCTGTGCCGTTTTTGAAGTTTGAAGGAAACAATTAAGTATCCAATTGTTTTAACTTGAGCTTTTTCACATAAAAAAATCTGGATATAAATTAAACATAAATATTTACCTAGCTTAGAAGCTAACATAGGCTACATATAAATTTAGGCTAAAAAAGTAGTTTTGTTAGTCTGTATAACAAGATAAAGTAAAATTTTTAAAAATCCTCACAGTCCTTCTGTTGCATAATATGTGAATTTTTTCCTCAAGTTTTTTGGCAACTTATGTAAGTTAAGTTTCAATCTCTGAATACAGTCAACTTCTCTCTTTTTGCTGTACTCATCTTTTTGCATATTGCACCCTGACTTGCTGTTCTGCACCAAGCATAAAAATGTGACTGATTTAGACCCTGTAGTCTGAGGCTCCTTGCATACTAATAACATCCAGTCAACACTACTGTGACACCTCTCTGCCTCTTCCAACTAACATTTAGTCTGCTGAAACTGCAGTTGCACAGAGACAAGTATATCTTTCTGCCACGAAATGATGGGAGGACCTAAAGCTAAGGAGCGAATTTGCAGATGGAAAGATGGTGAACGCTTATCTTTCTGGATTTCAGCTAGTAGTGTGAATAAAATGTAAAGTACATAGATTAAAAGTAGACAGTGAACTTTAGATCTAATCAATAGTTGCAGTAATAAAAATATTTTGGATTAGAGATTGGAAGTTAGGCCCTTTTCATACAGGATGACCACCCGGCCACATTGTAGTAAAAAAAAGAAAAAGGGGCAAGAATACTGCATTTGGCATATTATATGTCTGTCGACAAACTATTTTCCAGAAATACGACAGCAATTTAAAGTAGTCAGATCGGCATGGAAATTTTGGTTATCGGCAATACCGATATGGAGGGTGTGGGGGATCGACTGCCAATAATCGATATAATGCACAGATTATGCAGCAGCGCTTATTTTTCTTTGCAGAGAACTAAAGATTTCAGACAAACAATGCATCTTATTGAGGATGACAAAGATAACGTTACTAACACTGATATATTTTACCTCTACGTTAGTTTTATTGTTCTGGCTAAAATTTTACAAGGCAATAAGCTATGCTAAACATTAGCTTGTCAACTTGAGAGGCACGTAGCGGGTTGGAGGATTGAAGACAATTTATTATTCTTTATTTACTTTCCAGATCAGTTCAAATAAACTTACCATGCTCTGTTGAGCAAAATACACCACACAGTATTGCTCCCTGCTTCGTCTGTGCTGAATGTGAAAGTGAAACTTAAGTGAACGGCAATGACTTGAAAGTAGCCTTCATGAACCCTCTGCTGGAAACATTGTACAATTATGGCCGTTTCCCAGCATTTTAGGGGTGAAAATTAGAAGTGCTTAAATTAGCGCATAATGGTACAATTATCACCGATACCAATGGGTCCCCAAACGTCTATCAGCCTAAATTATCGGCTCTACCAATATATCGGTCTGGTTCTAATCTATAGTAATGGCTCGGATAAGCAAAGACATTGTCTAACCTTTGACCTTGATTTGCGGAATTAACCTTAGAGCTGGGGCAATGAAAAGATTACGCTACACAGCATTTAGTAGTGGTGCAAATTTGTTAAATTATCTTGAGTGGATCAAAAATGATGGTCTGGACAAGAAAATACTTTGTTTTAACTTTGATCTTGATTTGTGACATTGACATTGGAGCTGAGGTGATGAAATGTGTACACCTACACAGTCTAGTGATAATGCATGTGTGTATCAAGTTTCATTAAACTGATAAAATCTTGAGCGGATAAGAAGTTATGACTGGCCAAGCTGGTCTAGGCTATGACCATAAACGTAATAAGGATAGTGTAGACGTGATACATGTAGTTGCATTCTTTTGCTGTTCTAAAGAGATGTCACACAGGGCATGGTAATTGAGAAGACCATCTCAGGGACAAGGAATAGAAGAACAAAAAATAAATAAAAACGATGTATTATTCAGGGCATAGTAGCATCATGTTTGATACAAGCCAGTTATGTTCTAACAGGTCATGGAGAAGTTAGCAGGATCTTTGTCCAGTGTTGAAAAGGGCCTTGCATATATTCAAGTTTCCAGGAATTAAACATTTAACCAAAAGCATTAATAAAAAAATTATCACTCCAAACAATGCCGATTATTTATCGCCATACAGACCAGGCTGTACTTTAACTCAGCTGTGCCATTTCTCATGTAAAATTGACAAAGTATTGCTAAATATTCTAAAGGCTAAAATTTCAGAAAATAAAAACTTAATTTATTTTAGGTGTGTAGAGGATTACCTAAATTGTAGATACTGCAAATGTTTTAAATTTAAATGCATGACCCACCTGAATGATCAAAGTTATTCACGGCTCTAATAAATTGTAAATGATTTTCCTTTTAGCTTCATGGATCGGCAACCACTTCATGAGCATGAAACAGAGGGGAAAACACAAACTACATGCATGAAAATAGTTTGTGATACGAACTCAGCCTTGGCACTCAACCAGCTGAGCTACAGGGCCCCTAACAATCAGCCTGTGTGCTTGTAGACGGAAACATTTTAACACACATATATATTTACTTTTTTTGCATTAGACATTCACAAGCGTATCCATTTCTCCCACCGCTGCTGCTTCAAGTAGGCTTATCATCTTGCTTCTTTTAGGCACGGAGCTGTCATTCTGTACAGAGGAGGTCCCGGTGGTGTAAGAAGTACCTGTTCTGTTTTGCAGAGCCTGACTTTACTCCCCACCAGGGACACCAGCACTCTGCCTTTGTAACCGCGGAGCTCCAGCAAGCCACGCTTGTTTGTGGAGGAGAGGTGGGGAAGGCTGTCGGAGCGCTTCTGGGAGCTGCAGGCGGGGGGGCGCGTGGCCGTCTGAAGAGTTTCCATCCACTCCTGGCGCTCCCCTGTGGACATGTGCACGAGTGAGAAACAGAAACGGAGAGAGAGAGAAACAGATGGCAGATGTGTGAATGTGTAAAGGAGTGAATACAAGAGGAGGGAAAATGAATCAAAAGCAGACAGAGAGAAAGCTAGACAAGAGATCAGGGCATCCTAAAGTCTTTGACTCATGGTGTTAATTCATCATTTTTGCATGTCTTCAGTGAGTTACTTTAGATCTTTGGCTGCTAAAGTGCAGCTGAATACTGATACAGAAAATTCCGGTCTGAAAGAAAAGTAATTGAAACACAGGATGAGGTGCGATTGGTGAAAATTAAGTCAGTCTTTAGTGAAGACATTCCTGCAAAACTGACAGGGCCAATTTTGACACGACAGACACAGATACTCTTTCTTTTGTGGTTAAAGGTCAGTGGAGCCACCAAGTGGGGGCCAGTGTGGGCAGTGGACTCCCCTATTAATTGAAATACAATATTTCTCAAGTATATAGAAAAAATGAAATTTCATCTGCAAGTTTGTTTGATGAATCAGAGAAGCTTCCTGGGCCTCGCCCTCATATCCTATATCTGCTAAGCTTTTTTTTTTCTTTTGATCTTTTAGCCATATCCCTAAATGTTGCACGATCACGTTGAGAGAAGGTTGTCCTGATCTTTATAATAATAATAATAATAATAATAATAATAATAATAATAATGTCATCACAATGTCAGCACTGTATGTTTCCATACAATGGCGAAATTAGTCTGCATTTAACCCATCCACCACCAGGTGGTGCAGTGGGCAGCTATTGAAGGCGCCCGGGAGGCATTTTGGGGATGAGGCGTGCTGCCCAGAGACGCCACATGATGTGCAGTGACTGGGGATCGAACCTGGGACTTTTGGGTCCCAAGCCGGCTGCCCTGCCTCTACACCATCTCGGCCCCCTATATGGGATGTAAAGCAAAGACTAAACACAGAACGTTCTCGTCCTTAAAATCAAAGCTGCTTTGTACGCTTCAAAATGATGAAATATGCTCACTAAACAACCTTAAACTTTTTGGTATTTTTACAGTTGCGATTATTTTTACTTGCAACAAATAAAGGCTTTTGAGTGTACTCTGAAGAGTTATGTCCAGTTTATTGTCAATTTTCTTATCAAGCAATAAAAATCAAGATAACGTGTATAGTCTGTTGCAGACATGCTAACCAATTTTTGCCAAATATGGGGATAGTGACAAAGCATCTGTTTGAATTAAAGGAATCAGCTGACTGCTCACGTGGCCCATGTCGCAATGAAATATTTTATTTACTTTTAGTTACGACTGAATTAATGCTCATCGGGTAGGAGTGATGCTTGGAAAAGGGACTGCAGCGTTTCCCTGAAGTTTCTAGTCTTCGAAGGGTGGAGCTGATTAACATTTGAAACAGACCCTCTCGCAGAGAAAACCTTGTAGAGTTTGGAGGGGAATTAAAAGTTAAATAGACAGAACTGTTATTATGTTGGTCATAGAATTTAATATATTTTAATGCTAATATTATCCAAGAAACATGGAGTCACACAGAGACACCCCCAAACAGCTGTGCACACTCTTGCGGCGGCACGCTCCTTCTGCTAGCGGGAGTCTGGTCAAGTGTGCAAGTATGACGTGTTTGTAATGACGATGCTCCGGACACATTTGCATTTAAGACAATAGTACATTTTAGGCACAAAAGTCCAGAGGAAGTTGGGGCACGGCACAGAGGGGAGGGGATAGAGCTGATCGTGTATTGTTTTTTTACTTCTACCGTAGCCGCAGTGAATTACTCATGTGTGAACACATACAGACATTTATTAATGCATTACAAACCAGGACCTACACGGGGAGGCATACGGTCTTCAACAATGGTAGTAGCCAAGTCTGAGCACGAGTGCTAACAAATCACAAGTTCTTTGTTTAAAAGAGTTGCATGCATTGCAACTTGAAGTACTGTATTCCCTCGTGGAACCGTAGTCTTAATAAAAACGTGCGTTTTGAGGTTTGTTTCAAAACCAAGTGCATTAAGATAAAGATCAAGAGAAACAAATTAAGCTCAGTTAATGGATAACGACAACAGATAAACGTTAAAATCCAAAGTATGCCGTTTTTATTTTTAACACCAGAATCTGCTGGGGTTATTTTATTCTGACAAACTAGTTTGTTGGATTAAAATTTGGAGCTTTTTAAGAAGATTTTTGGCACAAACCAACATCTCAATTCCATAACATACTGTATTTGTTTTTTTATGTTTTTTTAAGGCTAAAAAGAAATACTCTGCACACAGGGCAGCCAAAGCTAGAAGAAGAAACCTTGTAGATGTTGCCAATAGCAACAATATGATTTATTAAAATGTGGTTTAAGAGAGATACCCAGTTAATTCCAACATGGTTTCTTTTTTTTGTGAGGCATTTTGTCCTTCATCCAAAGGACTTCTTCAGCCCAAAGAGCCACAACAAACTGAGTCCCACAATCAGCACACTCACATAGTGGACCAACCAGTTTGCTGGTGATAAGATGGTTTCTATAAGATGGTTTCTGCGGCCCGCCCTCTCCCCCATTGATTCCTCTGAGGCAGCCATAGCCAAAGTAGTTCAAAACATCAAAGTTCATGCTCAATAATCTGGGTAGAAAATCTAACAAAGTTCAGTCAGGTCATCTGAAACGTTGATTTTTTTTGTTGCGATGTTTTGTCTTTCATCCAAAGGACTTCGTCGGTCTAAGGAGCCACAAGCAAAACCTGCAAACTGGTTGGTCCACTATGTGGGTGTGCTGCTTGTGGGACTCAGTTTTGTTGTGGCTCCTCGGGCTGATTAAGTCCTTTGGATGAAGGACGAAACATCTCAACAACAAAAAAAGAAAGTCTAGATGACTTGACTGAACTTTGTTGGATTTTCTATCTGGATTTTTGAGCATGAACTTTGATACTTGGTTAATTGTTTTATGACTGGCATCTCAAATATATTTGTTGTCTTTAAAAACTATTTGTCCTTGAGCAGGACACAGAATTTTTCACCTACTGTAAATTCCTACCTCCTGGATAACTGCTCAGCTAAACAGACCCAACACAATACAACAGAGCGTGTTCCAGCCAAGGTTTTTACATTCTGACAATGTACACTCAAACGGCCTGTCAGACATTTCCCTCTGCAACTTTTCTAACAGACTTAAAAGAAGACAAGAAGCCGACATTGTAAAAGCCCATTCCCCTCCCGCCCAAGACACTGAGCTATCAAAGCCAGCAAAGTGGAAACACAAGAATTACCAAAGGATTGCAAACACACGAGCACACGCAGACCAACTTCACAGGTCCAAAACAGAGTCCGCTGGGGCAGCTGTTCAACACAAGCCCAGGAAAAACAAAATCAAATGAAATCTGCAAACTGAAATCAAAGCCTGCAATCAGCCGGGAAGCCCTCGCAAATTTGAAAAAGCCAACTTTTACTTCTTGTTACTTTTGTATTTCTTTCTGTTTTGTCTTGGTGTAACAAGGAGATTGTAAACTTTGAAAGTTTGAAAGTAAAAACAAAGTGCAAAAACCTTCACACCTCCACTGCTCATGAAGCAACAAAGCAGTGCTTTGACCGAATGATCCACAACTGGAATAAGTGGCATTTGTGCCTATGGCCACCAAACACTTTTTTTTTTTTTTAATAAGGACAAGTTATTTTTTTTTTTAGGTAATTATGAATTTGAGCAAACAACATGACAGCATACCCACCAAGCCATCTCCAAACACGGAATTGATTTTTATTTGATTAAAAAAAAAAAAAAAGATACCAGCAAGGCATTGAAATTTTTACTTTGAGCAATTGCTTCCCATCTTGCTTTTAATGTGTATTCTGCTCATTATGTCCCTGTCCTTTGGTACACACAAACCATGCCACCAGAATAAAATGAGCAATTACCGTACGGGAAATATCAAGAAATGTTTCTAAGAGGTTAAGAAACAGCGCGACAGGGTAAAAACAAAAAGGATAATTGTGTCAGTTATAGTTTATTGATTTCCGTGACAACTGAGCCCGACTCAAGATCCTAGAAGGACCTGGTAATAGCTTCCCTACGGTGGCCCTAAGGTGTAAATGAATAACATTTGAAAAAACATAATTACATTTGAAAAAACAACAAAAACAACAAAATCACAACTTTTTTTCTTCTTCTTCTTTCAGCTGCTCCCTTCTTTTTCAGGGGTCGCCACAGCAAACTAAGTCGCATGAAGACTTGGCAGTTATTTTTACGCCAGATACTCTTCCTGATGCAACCACAGACACTGAGCTACCACAGCCCTCTGTGTGGAGCAGAGAACTGCTATCTAGGACACCCGGAGGAGCAGATGGTGGGGTTAAGGGCCTTGCTCAAGGGCCCAGAGTGGGATGAATGAGGGTGGGGGCAGGTGTGGGTGCTTCACCTACCCCACCCACATTTTTGATGATGTTGGTACCGGGGCTTGAACCGGCGATCTTCGGATCACAGGCCCACCTTCTCTACTCTAACCTCTGCGCCACCACTCCCCCGGAATTTCAAAAAAAAAAATAATAAAATGGAATTACATTTGAAAAAACACAATTATATTTGAAAAACAGAATTACATTTGAAAAAAAACGGAATTACATTTGAAAAAACGGAATTACATTAAGCCAAAGCGGAAGTGGCCAGCACCACATTAGAAAAAATTGAATTACATTTGAAACAACAAAATCACAACAACATTTGAAAAAACTGAATTACATTTTATTTTTAAACGGTTTTACATTTGAAAAAACGTAATTACGTTTGAAAAACGTAATTTCGTTTGAAAAAACGGAATTACGTTTGAAAAAACGGAATCACATTAGAAAAAACAATTACATTAAGCCAAAGCGGATCTTTTTTTTTTTTTTACTTTATTAACAGCGTAAAACCGAACAACAGAACAATATATAGTACGCACACAATGGATATACAGTTAAAAGTATAGCCTGCTAACTGTATCTCTGTTGTGGGTGTACTGTATATTGTTATGTTGTTCGATATTA